CAAAACAATGCAGGCACAAGTTCTTCCCCTATCCAGTCTAGCTCCTGTAACACTTTTGTTCCTGTCTTGGGACCTAGGTAATAGTAATGTCCTGACAGTTGAGGAAAACAGAAAGAGAAATGAAAGCCTGCTCGAGGAGGAACACAAGAAATTCAGCAAGGGAATGTCTCTCTGTATTTGTTACTCCGCCAGTATTGGAGGGATTGCAACTCTGACTGGGACAACACCAAACCTGATACTGCAAGGACAAGTTGATGAGTAAGTCTGGTTGAATTTGGGGTTACATACCCATTAAAGTGCATCATTCTGCCACAGCTGACTTCCAGCCAACACAAATACCCATTTGGTAACTTTGTGGGAAGTTAGCTTCTCTTCCTTAGTGGGCTTCACAGTACCTGGACTTTTCTGAATCATTGAATACAGAAGAGTGCAGAATTTTCTATGCTGACAGCCATCTGCATTCTACAGGCTCTTTCCCAGCAATGGCAATGTCATCAACTTTGCCTCTTGGTTCTCCTTTGCCTTCCCCACCATGATCTTGTTACTGGCTTTGGCTTGGATTTGGCTGCAGACACTGTACTTGGGCTTTAAGTAAGTACCCTTTACACACTGCATTACAGCTGGCAGGCCTGTTAGCCAGTACTTGTTACATGTTGGAACACAAGTGATGCTTTTATTGATGAGCTTATGCTTGAAAGTCAGACAGCAAGTGACAAGTCCTCCCATACAACAGACACTACCAGAACAGCATACTAAGTATCTGCTAAAATACTGCAACTTTTTCTCTGAGGAATCTGATCAAACCTTTGCTAAGTACACTTGGTAGATGAAAACATGAAGTTGTAACTGCATACAACCTGTTCTGCAGCATTGCTTTCAGGTCCTGAAAGATTGTTATGCTTCAAACCAGGAATTTAATTTCTACTTACAGCTGGTAAATACCTTTGTGACAAGAGTTGCTTCAGACCTAGAGGATTATTGTGCCATTCCCAGTGCTAATCACCCCATACCACCAGCTGGCATTACCTACCAGTTTACTACTTAGCCTATCACTTTTGTATTATCTCATCCTCCTCTCTTTTAAATTGAAAGAGTGCTGTAATACCCGGAATATATAATACCAGCACTTTCAGCTGGAAATTCCTCTTTTAAAACTCTCCTTTTCCATCATTTTAAAAAGCTTGGCAACTGTTTACTTCTGGGTGATCCCGTAGCCTTGTCACTCGCACCAGCATTGCCATTATTTCCCCATGTGTCCAGATAGCATCCCTGTGCATGTGTAGAGCATAAGCTTTTCAGGGTAGGAAGCTTCTCTCTGGTCATCTTGGTAATACACAGTACAATGCAGTTACTATCCAACACGTATGGCTGCTGATGCAATGATAATAATATATATCATTTCTATATGCATATATAAATACATCTATCTAAAAGACAACATGACTGATTATAACATTTGGATTCTTACCTCTAAGGATATCTAGCAAAATTCTCTGATATTTCTTGTCCATTTTCTTCTAGTTTTCACAAGAACTTTGGTTGTGCTACAAACGCCTCTGCAAAGGCAAAGGAGCAACAGGCCTATGACGTTATCAAGGAGGAGAGCAAGAAATTGGGCTCAATGAGCTTTGCAGAAATTGCAGTTTCGATCCTCTTTGTACTACTGGTAGTGCTCTGGTTTACAAGAGACCCTGGCTTCATACCAGGCTGGGCAACAGTTCTGTTCAACAAAAATGATACGAGGTATCACCCCTTCTCCTCCTCACTTTGAATAAAGTAGGCTAGATTTAATAAAAATGAAAACATACTGATGCACATGAATACCTGCCTGATCTCTTGCAGCTATGTCACTGATGCTACAGTTGCCATCTTCATCTCAATTCTGTTGTTCATCATCCCTTCTGGCATGTCAGTCAGACACAAAGACCAAACAGGTAAGTTTACACTAAACAAGAATTCAGGCTGCTCTTCCTGCATAGCTGTAATGCTTTAGGCACATAGCCAATACAAGTTCTCTTTAACAAAGTAGGAAACACAACAGCGACATTCTGGACACTAGTACACACATCTGTAAAAGCTTCTGGAGTCTTCAGGAGAGAACACATGACTTACCAGATATGTTGCCATACTTTTCTCTCCCTCTTATCTGTACTCTACGGTGCCTCTTGGAGAAGCTACACATCACTTTAGTATTTTTGCAAGTCAAGTTTTAAATCTTTGTTCATGATTGCTTTAGGAGGTAATTCCAGTCTACTCAATCTTGCTGGCAGAAGTGTTTCCTGATGTTCAGACTAAACTCACCTCCCTCCAAGAAGTTCTCTTTTCTTTGGAGGATGCAGCATGGTTTACAAAATCTTTCTGGATTTTAGGCAGCAAGCCAAGGATCCAAGCACCCCCAGCTCTCCTGGACTGGAAAGTGGTTCACCAGAAACTGCCATGGAACATTGTGCTTCTGCTGGGAGGTGGCTTTGCCTTAGCCAAAGGCAGTGAGGTAACATTCCTCTGCTTACCTGGTATTTGTGTCTTCCTGGGTGTTTTCCCATTTTGCTTTCCATGAGTGCTCTCCCAGAACACAAGAGGGCATGCTGGTAGCACCAAACGTGCATCTCCTCAGCTAGTGGCAGTAGGACAGACTTCCTTAGGAGGAATCCTGTGATGAGAACAAATCCTTATTGCTTGTGCAACTGGGATGGTACTACCAATCGAGGCAGCATGTTAACTGTGTTTCTAGAAGAGTGGATGATTAAGAAACTACCCCAACACATTGAAGGTTTTATTAAATAAACCTTAACTGATGTGGCAAGAATGAGGAGATAATGTGCCCGGGCTGGGTCTCCAAACTATTGCAAACTAATTACTTAAACTAGAAGACAAATGTGCAGCTAGCTGGAGAACCTTCAGGAGCAGATAAAAATGCTTAGATTAAAACTAAAAGCCGTGAATATTGATCATGTGTCATAATGGCCTGTGCAGAGTAACCATTATTTGCCATCAATAACATACTATAATATAGTATCTTTTTCTTAATTCAAACTCCTTGGAAGGGAAAACATGTTTATTGTTATTTAACCTACCAGATGATTGTATCTATGAGCATCGCCTCTTACATGTTCTTCTACAGAAAGCAGTTTGCATGAGAGCTCCTATAAGAAGGGAATCAATATGAGAAATGTAACTAGACTGTGATGTGGCTATTTCTTCTCCAGTCTACTATCCTGACAGACCTCTTTCCTCTGTTACAGGAGTCTGGTCTGTCCTCATGGCTAGGAAGCAAACTCACTCCTCTGCAGCAAATCCCTCATCCAGCTATTGGTCTCCTGTTGTGTCTCCTTATTGCCACTTTCACTGAGTGTGCCAGCAATGTGGCCACCACCACCCTCTTCCTCCCTATTCTGGCTTCACTGGTAAGTTCCAGCATTTCAAAACACTCTTATAAGAACA